TTGTATTGACAATCCTTATTGTCATTATTATTTTGTTTTGAATTAAATTTTGTCAAAAGGAATCAAAATTGAACGAAAGTTTTTTTTCAATTAATATCTTCGTTAAATAATAACAATTCTAGATCATTTCTTTTTAACCCCCTCCCTCTTTTCAAAGAAGAAGAAGAAAACGACGACAACAACAACAACGACGATAACAACGACAACAAGAACAGCAACTAAGCTATTCAAGTAGGAATGATTTACTAATCAGAAGAAGTTAATTTCTTTTGTGTTGAATCAACTTTCTCATGATGATAGTCGATTACTTTGTATAGTATTTGACAATAATGATGATAGCACTAATGAAATGTGATGATATTCCAATCTATTGATAATTTATTTCTGAGAAGAAAGAAACACACACAATTCACTAAAATTTTGATTGTAATTAGAATGTAATGAAAAAGACTGGGAGAAAGAAGTATAAAGACTAAATACAGAATAAATTCCCTTTGTTGTTGTTGATGATGATGATCGTTTGTATCTTCGTATTGTTGTTTAAGACTGTAATTGATCAATCTATTGTTGATATATGTATATCCTGTGCGGATTAACTCAATATTGCTTTAAGTCACAAAACATAGAATAGTCATAAACTGATTGGTAATTTAATTTGTTTATAATAAATAAAAATTGTTGATTGAATTAGTTAACTTATTTGTTTGTTTTTGTATATCAACATTCAAATAGATTTTCTTAAGACATTTTTTAAGATACAATGAACATGATATTGAGTGAAATGTATAGAAAAGTTGAAAAAAAATATTTCTCAATGTTTTATGTGAGGATGGTCTAAGAAGCTCAGAAAGAGCCAAAGATATTCCATCCAATCATCTTTTAGAAGAATATTCTAGAATATTGACGTGTAGCCTCCCTATTGGACAAATGCTAAAACCCTTCTGTATACGGATTACTTTACTTACGCCTGTGACTCCTCGTGAAAAAGCGTAGATCGCTCACCAGCATTCCCCATCCAACCCTGCCCTACTCACCACTTGTCTGTAGCTTAATTTTGTGTGACTATAAATATTGATTAACGCTTGACTAAATGGAGTTGGCTAACACTCCTTCTCCACTGCGTGTAATTTCGCTTTGGTCTCTGAGCCTCGTTTCTTCGATTGTATGAAATACACATATTCGAAATTCATTCTCGTTATTTGACTTATTTAATTCTGTTATTGACTAATGCGATTTAAGTCGATGATTATATACGAGGATTGACGACATATGTACTTCAATAACAATCATTCATACAATCTCACTGGAGTCAGATCTCGGGTCACTAATGCTTACATTATTATTCTGGACAAATGTTTCAGAACAATGGAAATAAACAAAATTTTTGAAATATTGTCATTTGATTCTACTATTAGACGATTATTCACATAAAGGGAGAGCTGAAAGCATATATATATATAGCTTTTTTGGTGAAAATTATAGTCATCCGATCCACCATCAAGAAGGTACAAGTATTTATAAATGGTTATCTACTCAAGATACCCAACATCCATTGGCCGGATACTATCAGCAACAGTCTACTGTGGAAGAGAAGAAACCAGCTTCCAGTTGAAGATGAAATTGGGAAAAGACGATGGAAACGGATAGGACATACATTACGCAAATCATCAAACTGCATCACGAGACAAGACCTAACTTGAAATCGTGAAGGGAAGCGGAAAAGAGGAAAGCCAAAGAACACATTACGCTCGGAAATAGAAGCAGATATATTGAATAACCCTGCATTCCTTATAGTTCACATGACTAATTTTAAAATATTAGCTTCACAGGGCATTTTTGGACAAATACTATATATTGACAGTTGAAATGGAATGAAAAATATATATTGTTTATCCATTAATGTACTTAATTTTTATCTGATTACCTTTTTTTAAAAATAACATATAAGTTCATATTATGTAATATTGAAATGAATTCTTCGATTTGATAAATATGAAACTGAAAAACTTATAAAAACAATAAAATATCGGAATGAACATCAACTCTGTTATGCAGATATATCCAGTTGATGAATCTCAAATAGGACGAAACCCACGTCCTGGATTCCGCTGTTAGCCACCATCCATCTTTGATCAAAAAGCTTGTGACTTAAGACATAATCGAGACAGTTCGCATAGGATGCACATATATCAACAAGAAACTGATCAATTTTAGTGCTAAACATCAATGGGAATATACAAGCAAATAATACCAAGTGAATTTGAATATTAGTGTTGTTTCTCTAAAATTATATTAATTGAAACGAAGTAAATTATTCATTAAAAGATTGTCAGTAATTTTACTATGATTTAAGTTGATAATATTAATATCAATAACGAAAAAAAAAAACAGTATACTTCCTATGAATGAATACTGAAAATTAAGATATGGAGGAAGATGGGGACTACATCCATTTGCTATCTATTTTGAACCAACCTATCAGTTATACAATATTCAACGACAGTTGATGAGGCTTCCAAGATAGGTGAAGTAGCCGAAGCACTCAGCTATTTCACTGCTGTGATCAATCTAAGTTTTGCTACACACTAGCAAGAATTTGTAAATAGTGGGAGTGAAACGTCTGCCAAACCTGCTTGAATTATTTCTCATGTGACTCTGGACCATATCAGCATTTTCAATGTACAAAACTGTGTCATCTGCCTATTCCAAGTCTATTAGTAAGTTTCAAAAAAGTGACCAAACCCTAAAACGTTAGATGAAAAATCATTTTTGTGGAGGACATCTGCGGTGAAACCAAACGAAGAGGAGAATAGTGAGTAACCCTAACGAACACAACTTGCAGTTGACAAATCAATTTCAAATGGCTAAACGTTATCCCTTTAACATCTTATTCGTTATAGTTAACTCCTGTTTCAACGTTTGATAGTTGTTATCGAATTTATAAAACATAATCTAAAACACATCGAATAACTAGGTAAATTACTGAATTTAGTTAACAACAGAACAGTTCATTTTATTAAATGTTTAATGGAAATTTATTTAATGGTTGAATTCACTAGTCAATTGAAGCAAGATCACCATGAAAAACCTGGAAGAACTCGACGGCCGTTTTTTCCCAGTATGGGACTCCTCAGCGGGGCTCGTCTACGATCCCGCTCGCGGGATTTGACCTCAGGACCTATCGGTCTCATGTGCAAACGCTTAACCTCTAGACCACTGAGACTGTATCCAACGGTGTTAACCTTTAACTTTATTTGACGAAAATGAATCATTAAAAACACGAAGTTTAGAGAAGGAATCCGTTCTCAACGAATTTATTGTCAAGTTCTACAATCGAATGTATATATGAAAAAATTTTTTACGTTAAAATGCTAATTTGTCATTAACTTATTAAGTCTATTTATATTAATCATACTGCGTAATCTAGTATTATAAACTTTCGATTGCATCATCATGATTTTTCCTTGTTCATATGTCCTCACAGAACGAATTCATTGAAAAGAGATCTATCTTCATTGAACTTTGTGTTTTTAGTGTTTAAATGGGAATTATATGTCACTCTCAAGCAAATATAGGTGCGATGTTAGCTTCAATATTCTATGAATGTTTTGCATGTTCTATGATGAACTATGGTACTTACAATTATAAACCTAAATATTTACAAAAAATCATAGCGATGGTCAATATTTCTGATTAACATAGAGATTATATAATATAATGATGGACTATTCTATCATACATAAATCAGTTTATATTATATTAAAATTTAATTATTTTTAGGGGAACACCTTAAGAGTGAACAAGAACATAAGTAAGGTCAATTGAATGTATTTCAACACACAATTACAGAATATTTTAGTAAAATCTGAGAATTACACAGTTATTGCTTTATTGTTCTTCGGTTTCCACATCAATCATTCTTTGTTCTCATCCTCTTTTCTACGATCTTCCTAACTTTCTACCGCCAGGTATTTCACATTCGACTGATAATACATACTACTTATATCTGTTGACATCAGTAGTACACACCACGCTTTGTCTCTTACTAAGATAATATCTTATCCCTTACGAATATGCATGGTGTTTAAGTTGAAGTTTCCAATTAAAATATTATTCATCGAATCATTTTTTGGTTATTTTACTTTTAAAACTTCCATATCTACAGCACATTTTATTGGTTTCTAATTAAACTGTAATTATTATATTCTCTTGGTATTGTTTGGCTTATATCTTCCTATTGAGGTTTAAGATTGTAATTGATCAGTCTGTTATTGGCATATATGCATACTGTGCGTATGCCCCGATATTGCCTTAATTCACAAGCTTTTTGTAAGCAACGATGTATAGTGGCAAGTGACTATCAGGACTTAGTAGCTGAGTGGATAACGCGATGGCGTTTGAAGCGAATGGTACTGGGTTGGAGTCCCAGAGTGAATGTCAACTCTGAGATGCAGGTACATCCAACTGACGAGTCCCAAATAGGACGAAACGCGCATCAAACTGGATTCCACTGCTAGCCACTATCCATCATTGTAATTATTATAGTTTCGTTCTTTTGTTAAGTTATTCATGAATTTTATTTTTGGTCGTGTTGTATTCTCTGATTTAAATAATTAAATAACTGACCTTTCATTGTCATTTTGAACAACATCATCAATGTTTTTCTTCCTACATTTATATATAAAATTGAACATTTTAGCTATTCTGCAAAGTTTAAATCGATTTTTCCTGATAGCCTTGATTGTCACTAGATATTTGATATGGCGGGAAACAAAGTCAAATATTGATTAATTTACTCTTTATGAGTTTTTGTTCAAGATGACTTCCGTTCTGATTCAATGTAATGATTACTCAATGTAGTATTTGTTTTCTTTTATGATATACGATAGTCTTGTATTCCATTGACATCAATTATGCTCAATATGTGATTGGTTATATATGTGATTTCATTCTAATCATTAATCAAAACGGGTGCATAATCAATATATAGATGAGTGTATTTTCTACTAGAATCGTCGTCGTCGTTGTGGTGGTTGTATTTTCAGGTTAATAAATGTTCACTTATACCAGTCTTTGTGCTCTTACTTTCGTGTCGTGGAAATAATGATAATTTATTAATGATGAATAATTTAACTGAATTACATCACAACAAACTGATTACATCATTCACAAATTGTAATCCAAATAATACTAATTCTATTTATATCTTTATACAAGATTTATCACATTTGAATCTATTATGTAATCAACAATTTCATCATTATAAGAATTCATTATATAAAGTACCATTGAATTGTATATGGAATAATCCAAGAAGTAAATTATCATCATGGGCATCATCATCATCATCAGCAGCAGCATCATCATCATTATCATCCATTAGATTACGATCTAAAATTAAAAAATTCTTATTATTTAATGAAAATTTAATGAAATTTATTATCAATTATGCACAGTTTAATCATGTGAATATTGTCAAGTTTTATGGTTTAAGTATAATAGATAGATCAATGAAATATTCTTCATATTCAATAATTACAGAGTACTGTATCAATGGATCATTGGATATGTATTTGAAAAATGTAAGTTGTAATATGCATTTTGTGTTTGATGAATGACCTACATTAAAGTCATGATTAATGATGTAATCACTATGAGGAAATCAATATTTAGGAGAGGTAAACACTAAGATTTATATGATGCTGCTAGATTTGAAGCAGCTACGAGTTCACTTAGTCTGCGAACGAAACAATGACTTGTGATTAAAGATCAATAAACTAGCTATTCTATTGCGTCCCAGTCCCGCTAACTAGAAACAGAAGTCGAAGTTTGAACGGGGAAGTATATTCCCACAGAAAGCCATAAGCACGAGCGATAACAACAGACACAAATCAAAACGTATATATACGGCACAAAACTGTCCTTGGGAAGCGTTGCAAAATAGTATACTAAAAGACACAACGGACCAATAGCGTTTAAGATTCTCCCAAGTGGAAAATACGACATGAAGGTGAAAAGAGCGCTTTTGTTGCGAAAACAAAGAAATTCAAATTTTCTAAATAAAATTACAAAATTAGGAACTTTTCCAAGTGAGATCGGGGGATCTAACGTCCCCAACAATGTATTACCAGTCAAGAGTGAAATACCTGGCGGTAGAAGATTATTATGATCATAGAAAAGAGAACGCGAAAAAAGAATGATTGATATGGAGACCAAAGAACAATGAAGTTTGAGACGATTGACTGATATTTACAAAAAGAACAGTCAAGTTTGATACAGTTGATTGATATTATGCGAATGAAGTATTTACTGTATTTTCCTCAGATTTTTGTGTAATATTGTGTTCAAATACATTCGATTGTCCTCATTTGTATCTTCGTTCACTACAATACTTTGTTTTGATATTGTCTGAAGCTAAGATAGTTCACCTATTAAACACAATGATTTTTATCAGAAGGGGTTTTGTGGAGATTTTATTAATTTCAATAATTGAAATCATAATTCTATTGGAGCTAGACCAGTGACCAGTGGAGTTCAACCAGGTCTGTTGTGAGATATCAACTCACTGAAGACAATGGTGTACGGTGACGCAATTTCGTGGATTGGTTGAAGTTAGACATTAACACCATTGGATCTAATGGTTAAGCGCTCACGCGCTTGGGTTCGAATCTCGCGGGGTGCGGGATTGTGGATGCGCACTGCTGAGGAGTCTCATACTAGAATGAAACGGCCATCCAGTGCTTTCAGGTTTCCCATGGTGGTCTAGCTTCAATTGACAATGATTTATATTATTATCTTTTATGTCCAATTTCTATAGAGTATATCTTGTATCTAAAGATAACTATTCCTAAAAAGGAGACCTAAACGAAAACATTTCAAACGACAAATCATACTAGATCATATTATGATCAATTAAGAAGAGCAAATAAGAAGCATTAAAAGCATAGGACGAAAAAAATCTGTCTAGTTAGAAAAATATTTGCGCCCATTGACTTTACACATACAATTCATTAATAAGCATCATATGACAACTAGAACTATGGTAATGCACAAATGTCTTATCTAAACAATGTTTTATTTTTAGCACATCATTCAATGTATGTCAATTGTCAGTTATGTAATACTTTTAATTTTAAAAACAATTTCAATGGATATATGACAAGAGCTAATTCTGAAAGATTCTTATCATCTATACTAAATTACCGTATGTACTGTACTAACATACATCCGTACATATATGCATACATATATACATAGTGAAAAAGTGACTGGATTTCGAAAAAGAAAACATCACTATGCATTTATATGCATGTAATATTTGTAATGAATTTCAATACATTCTTTTAGTCTACTATCAGTTTATTCTTTCTGATAAACAGTAATAGTTTTCTAGTAGTACTGTGGTGTGGGTTACTTATATCCACACAAGTAGTAATATAACGGTGGTCAGGCATAGAATGTACTTCAGTAGGTCAATGAGGAAAGAACGGGAACGGAAAGCAATTGGTATGAAAATGCATAAAACAATGAAATCGGAGATAATGGATTGATGTTTGCAACAGGAACAGTGAAGTTTGAGATGATGGATTGATATTTTGCAAATTAACTATTTACTATATGGTTCTCAGATTTTAGTGAGATGCTCTGTAATGTTGTGCTCAAATACATGCTCTTGCTCCCACTGGTGTTCTTGTCTACTACAGTACTATATTCTATTAACTAGATGATTTGATTGTAAAACTTTCATTGTCGTTCTAAACAATGTCATCGATCCATTACTTCAAGTAGAAATCATCTACATGATATTATTATTACACAATAAAGCACTCAGTCATCTAATTCAAATAATTTGTTTATTGAGTTAGACAAAGATGGATTGTGGATAAAAGTGAAATCCAGTCCACGTGCCTCGTCCGATTTGGAACCGGTCAGCTGGATGTACATGCATCCTGGAGTTGATGTTCACTCTGAGACTCAAACACATTGCCATTCGCTTCAAACGCCATTGCATAATCCACTTAGCTACTGAGTCCTGATAGCCACCTGGTTGTGCAATAGGGTGATTTTTAAATTCAATTGCTGTTGTTTGCTTGTATCTTCCCATTGTTATTTAAAACTGTAATTGATCAGTCTCTTGTTGGCATATGAATCAGCTTATATGTTAAATGAAATCCTAAGATCCATGGTCAGAATAAATATGGGTCAGATAGAATGAGAGAAATAACAGTACAATTACAATTCGGGCAAATATTTAATCGAAGACTACATTGTGTAAGCAATTATTAGTAAGACACAATACGGTGGGATGAATGCGAAGTAAATGAATCATGATGTTGAACCAAAAATAATAATAATAGTAATAATAATAATAATAATAATAATAATAATAATACAAGGATTTATGAATAGAGATAACGGAGACGATTACATTTAACTGTGAAAGGTCATAAATACAATAGTTAAAGTAGGTCATTCAATAACTAAGATTACTATTGATTAATTAGCATTGAGGTTGATGAAGGGAGGGGAAGTAGTTGAACATATTTCTTCCAGGTTTTAAATGATGGTCTAACACTGATCAGTTCATGATCTTAATTAATAGGACGAAACGGTCGTCCATTGCTTCCAGGTTTTCCATGGTGATCTAGCTTCAATTGATTCATGATATCAACCATAGAAATTACTACAATCTCTACAAAACCACTTCTGATACTAATCAACATATGCTCACTAGTGACTAGCTTCAAGAAGTATATCCTGCAGTTCTGGTGGGAAGCAGTGACCAGTGGAGTTCAATCGGGTCATTTGTGAGGTAGTAACTCACTGATGACAATGGCGGATGTGTCGCTCAATTTCATGGATTAGCTGAAGTGAGACATTAACACCGTTGGATGCTGGCTCAGTGGTCTAATGGTTAGGCGCTCACGCGAGAGACTGATAGGTCCTGGGTTCGAATCCCGAGACGTGGGATCGTGGGTGAGCACTGTTGAGGAGTCCCATACTAGGACGAAACGATCATCCAGTGCTTCCAGGTTTCCCATGGTGATCTAGCTTCAATTGACTCATGATTTCAACTATCGAAATTAAGAATTAAATATTAGAAAGATGACAATTTCATCAGTGTGGTAATTATCGTTAAAGTTTTAATTTATTTATTAGAAACTTTTATTTTAGTTAATTAATGTAAATGGTCATAAAAAGGTTTTTTTTGTTTTGTTTTGTTTTGTTTATCCAATGTCATAAAATTCCAGTTATCTTAATTTTCCTGAAACGTTTATTTTTCATAATCATGAATTGATCGTATATTATTAGCTATATCTTGTCCAATATTGTCTGATCACGATGTGTTATTATTACTATTTATATTATTATTATTATTATTATTATTATTATTATTATTACCATTATTAATAATAGTAGCAGTAATAGTAGTAGTGTGGTGTGAGCTACTAATATCTACATAAGTAGCATATAACGATAGTCAGGAATAGAATGTATTTCAGCAGAAGATCGAGAAAGAAAGAATGGGACTAGAAAACAATTGGTATGAAAATGCATGAAACAATGAAATCTGAGACGATAGAAACAGTCAAGTTTGAGACGATGGCTTGGTATTTTGCAAATTAAGTATTTACTGTATTCTCAGATTTTAGTGAGGTGTTCTGTAATTTTGTGTTGAAATACATTCGGTTGTCCTTACTCGTGTTCTTGTTAACTACAGTTATAGTATTAGTAATGATGGTGTTTGAAGAGAATAGCAATGGGTTCGAGTCCTAGAGTGAGCAACAAATCTGGGATGTATGTTCATCCAGCTGACGAGACCTGGATAGGAAAAAAACGCTCGTCCTGGATTCCACTGTTAGCCATCATCCATTTCCGCTTATAATGCTTGTATCTTAAGACAATATCGAGACAATCCGTAAAGGATGCACATATGCCAACAAGAAACCGATCAATTTCAGTGCTAAACATCAATGGGAAGATATAAGTAAATAACATCAAGTGAATTCACAGTGTTAACATGTTTGGTTGTGACAATACATGACACAAGTTTGAATATGACAAGATGTATCAATTTTATTCAAGGTTGAAGATTCAATGTTCTGATAAGTAGTGAGTTCAACCAACAATAGGCGACATTAAACAAACAAATCCTAACAGAAAATATACAGAAAAAAAACTTTTCAATCGACAGTGTAATACTAATGACAATATTTATTTTGAATACTCTGAATAATTACATGTTCAATTTAGAGAAGTATTTCACTTGATAATGAGTAGAATACATAAACCTTGGAGATGATTTCCTAACCAATTGTGGATCACTAAATTTTGGCAGTAAGTTTATTCGAATTGAACGTGAATGACATGACTTTCTAACTTATTCGAGGTCACAGCAGGTGATGAATACTTAGTTGAAATTACCCGATTGTGATACCAAGGTTATAACGTATATATAATCTTAGCGAAGGGATCTATTTTACTAAATAGAGCAGATAAGTGAAGTGCATATAATATAAGCACTGTGGCGCAAGTCAATCAATAGCGGGAAACTGATCAATACATGTTGGACATCCATGACGTCAACGAGATTCGTTAGTTAGCTAAAACGTAGAACCAGACACATATATGCATCTGTACAAGTTGCCATACCGCATTAGCACAACAGGATGATCAACAAGTTCATAGAAATAGTCACTTCAATGGTAGTAATATTTAAAAGGAAGATTGCATATAAGGATATAGTACAGGAAGAAAGAATTAGTCATAGAAAGAAAGATACAAAGTAATTTTAATGTCACAGTTTAATGGAAGACGAAGAGTGTAAACACCTACGCCTTTGTGATCGATTCTGACCCATGTCACCAAGACTCTCCAACCATTGGTTACGATAATTACGCGGCCCCCAACCAAGTAGTCTATATCTACCAACATGGCTCAGACCAGAAGCTAGTGACTTTGTAGACTGATGCCACGTTTTGGTTTAGTCCCCCCTAATTTTCTTCCAACTGTCTCCAACACTAATCAGCATTGTGCACCGTGGTAATCAATGTTCAGGTATACATATCAATTAAATCGTTTGAAGTTCACTGATAAAGAATTAGTTCATCTTGCTAGATTATTAGACATAGATTCAGTGTTATTATACTGTAGTGAACAGAACACGGGTGGAGACAATCGAATATATTTAGCACAAAATTACAGGACTTATTAATAAAATCTAACAATCATAAAGTAAATGCTTAACTTGCAAAATGTCCACCAATTGTCTCAAAATGACTCAGACTTCATTGTTCTTGCATTTTCATATAAATTGCATCCTATTTCCATTCTTTACTGTTCGATCCTCCTGTCTCATTGCTGCCAGACCTTCTGTTCACGACTAACATCATATACTACTTATGCCAATATAAGTAGCACACCATAATACTAGTCATATACAACCATCATGTATAGATATCCAACTATATGCTCAGTTAAGCATTCATTTACTTCCTCAAATATTTAAACAGGGACACCGAATAAAGTAATTTAAACTGATCTTTTTCTCCAAATATCACATAGTTACAATAATAGTGGGAAAACTGAAAATCATTTCAATGTCTGTTATTTTCCTGAAGAGAAGTCTATTCAATATCTACTTTATACATTACAACTATTTTTTTCTTCTTACATAATAATATCTTTGATTGTATTGTATTTCATTTGCTATTTACAACCATTCAAGCATATTATTATTATTTGTCTAAATTAACAATAGTCTCTTATCTATTCTGACTTTAAAAAATAAAGTCAGTCTATATAAACATTTTACTTAATTTAAACCAATATTTATTCAACACATTATTGTAATCAAATTTAAAATATTTCGAAATTTATAGTTGAATTCATGAGTCAATTCAAGGTAGACCACCATGGAAAATCTGGAAGTATTGGACGGCTATTTTGTCTTAGTATTGAACTCATCAACAGTGCATGTCCATCATCCTGCATATACCAGTTGAAACCAGAATAGTAGGTCTCACGCGTGAATGCCTAACCTCTAGATCACTGAGTAGTCATTCAACGTTGTTGATGTCTAGTTTCAATCAATCCACGATATGACGCGACCGTCCACTAATGTCTTCAGTGAGTTTTTATCTCATAACAGACCTGGTTGAACATCACTGGCTACAAAAGACAATGGTCGAGCGGTGGCGCAATATTGTGGATTGGTTCAAGTTAGACATTGGCACAGTTAGATATAGACTCAGTTGTCTAGAGGCT